GTAAAATCTTAAAATAAATCAGATCTATCGATTGTTAGTGAATTTCTAAACCTCTTCGACAGCAGCAAAAGAATGGATTATTTTCCGACCGATTAAATGGCATATCATATTTATCAAATTCAAACAAAAAAAATATTCACAAACAAGGCATCTTAAATTAATTTACACCTGAATGAATGATTATTGAAAATGGTTTCAATAATTATTAAACCGCAACAACAGATAGAGAAAGTCTCAACAACAAGGACTTGGTGGGAATCATCTTAACCAAAGTCGGGGTCGTTCGGCCAAAAAAATTTAAAAGAATTGATGTGGACAAAAAAAAGTTTACTTATAATTTTGGTGGACATACGTAGTTATTCATGATTTGGTAAATCCGAGAGCCAAATTAATCGGACATTCGGATTTGCCAAATCTGAAACAATAAAAAATAATAAAATATTAATTATTTTGTTATTTTGAAAAAAAAAAGAATCGAGGTCAAAATGTGTACAGTAAACTCAGATTTCCGAGAGCTTCCCCAACATAATTTGTTTAAAAAAAAAACTGAAGGATGGGAAAATTTAAAAATTTTATTTATGGTAAGAAAGTTTGAAAATTTAATAAATGAACAGTGGAATCGGATTTCGGAAATTCGAACTACCTTTTTAAAAAAAAAAAATCTTTTAGTGCAAAAAACCTTTGAAAATTTAAGTTTTCATAGGAATTCGCATTAAATTGACATATCTGCTTTTTTTAAAAAATAAAAAATAAAAAATATTGTATTAGATATGATATTAATAAAATCTTTTATTACTAATAATTACTAAGAATTTACATTAAATTGATGAAAAATATATATTACTAATGTTATGTAGTATTATTAAATCTTATAGAAATTTGAATTAAATTAATTCAGTATAATTGATGAAAAATATATATTATTAGTGTTACGTAGTGTTATGTACTATTTGTACGTACTAGTATTATGTAGTACACTAATACTATTAGCCACTATACATCAGTGGTACTAGTGTTACTTATTACTGTTAAATCTGTTAGTCATTAGATATTATCATTAATTCAGTGTAATTTATATGTACTAGTGTGATATACTTTTTACACGTACTAGTATTATGTAGTACATTAATAACTATTACCCCCGATACATTATTGGTACTAGTGTAACTTATTACTGTAAATATGTTAGTCATTAGATATTATTATTAATTCAGTGTAATTCATATGTACTAGTGTTATGTGTTTTTTATACGTACTACTATTACATAGTACATTAATTCTATTACCCACTATACATCAGTGGTACTAGTGTTACTTATTACTGTTAAATCTGTTAGTCATTAGATATTATCATTAATGCAGTATAATTCATATGTACTAGTGTTATGTACTTTTTATACGTACTAGTATTATATGGTATATTAATACTATTACCACTATACATCAGAGGTACTAGTGTTACTTATTACTGTTAAATCTGTTAGTCATTAGATATTATCATTAATTCAGTATAATTCATATGTACTAGTGTTATATAATTTTTATACGTACTAGTATTATGTAGTACATTAATACTATTACCCACTATACATCACTGATACTAATGTTACTTATTACTATTATATCTGTTAGTTATTAGATATTATTATTAATTCAGTATAATTCATATCTACTAATGTTATATACTATTTATACGTACTTGTATTATGTAGTACATTAATACTATTACTCATTATACATCATTGGTACTAGTATTACTTATTACTGTTAAATCTGTTAATCAATAGATATTATTATTAATTCAGAATAATTCATATGTACTAGTGTTATATACTTTTTCAGCAAATAATCTAATTTTCAGAATTCGAGTTAAGCAAACAATTGAATTTTCAAAATCAGGCCATAGGGTTTAGGGTTTAGGGTTTAGGGTTTAGTTTCGGATTTCTCACATCCTAGTTTATCTTAGACTCGGATTACGAGAATCTGAGATTAGCTTAAACTCGGATTTCTAAAATTCGAATTTAGGGTTTAGAGTTTAGTTACGGATTTCTCAAATCCGATTTTAGTTTAAACTCGGATTAACTAAAACTTGGGTTCTCAATATCCGATTTAGTTCAAAACGTTAGATTTTAGGGTTTAGGGTTTAGTTTAATGTGCATTGTGTGGGTATGGACACTACCCGGGTGAACGCAAATCCGAAAGTTTCTGAGAGTAAGTAAAGAAAGACTGGTATTACTGAAATCCAAGTCTCTTCCTTTTTATTTTTAACATTTAGATTTTTTTCCAAAACTTAAAATAATTTTTTATTATAAACTTTCAGATTTCCGAAATCCGAATTTTCATGTTTCAGATTAGGCTAATCCGTTTCTAGTCAACTTTTATTTTTAAACACTTAAATAATTTTTTCAAAAAATAAATATTTTTTTATTGCTGACTCTCGGATTTGCAAAATCCGACTCTTCATTAGTTTAAATTAATTTTTTGATTTAATTTAAATAATTTTAGGTTACTAAAGTCTCGAATTATACTAATCTGAGTTTCGATGGTCTCAGATTTGCGAAATCCGACTGTGCGGTACTCTCGGATTTGGTAAATCCGAGAGAACTAGTGTTGTCCACCTAATTTAGATCCATATTATTTTTGTCCAGGATCTTTTTTAAATAATTTTTTAGGTAAAAAACTCACCAAAGTTGCCCGATCACCCCATTTTCTCCTCTTCCGTGTGTTATTTTTCTTCAACATTGTAAACAATAAATACTTAGTGACTTTATATTAAAACAATGTGTAAAATTCTAAAAAGAGATGATTGTATAAAAGAATATGAGAAGTTTAAAGTTCGGAAATATTTTAGTTTATTTTACAAATTGCACAAAGTAAAATAAGTTGCGTTTAGTAATTCACTATTAAATATTCATTATGAAATCCCTCAACCAACTACCACAAACACCCCGCACAACGCTCCTGCACTCACCATCTCTAACGACAAAAACCCCATATGAGTTAACCTTATTATCATATAACAGTGATTTAATACTCCCTCCAATTTTTATTATAAAACATTTTAATTTGTTTTAAATTTTATTTATTATATTTTTTGAATTGAAAATAAAACTTTAAAAATGTTATTCTCCCAATTATTATAAAGTATTCTTAAGATTTTACTTTCAATTAAAAAACACAATAAATAAAATTTTAGAACAAATTAAAATGCCTTATAATAAGATTATTATTTATATGAAACTAGATTGATTAAACCTGAACATTCATTTTTTAATAACTAGTTCTACACCAATTTCAACTATGTACCACATTTATATTCACCCACGTTCTTAGCTTCACTCGCCTTGTTGATGTCTGGTTTTTTAGTATTATGTAGAACTCATGAATTTGCATGGAGTCCTATCACTTTCTCCCTCCATTTTAAAATATAAGTCGTTTTAAAAGTTCATGATAAAATTAACAGTTATTTTTTCAAATTTATCATTAATAAATAATACCAACTATTTTTTATATAGTCTTGTTTATAATTTCAATACAATTAATGAGGGACAATTTTTGATACACAAATTAATTGTAGAATAATTGTCTCCTTAATTTCCGTGCAAAGTCTAAAATGACTTATATTTTGAAATGATGGAGTAATAAATAAATTGGACACAAATTTTTGGTTTAAGGTTTAATGTCGGAGTTGAACTCTAACTTGGAGTAAGTTCATTGGACTCGATCGATGGTTCTGCTTTTTTAATTCATTTTTCCTAACTGAATTCGTAGCACATTACATTTTCCACAATATATTAGCCCCATACTGAAAGAACATAGTGAACTAAAAGCTTAACAACTAAAGAGAGAGAGAGAGAGAGAGAGAGAGAGAGAGAGAGAGAGAGAGAGAGAGAGAGAGAGAGCTTATCATGGATTTGATGATTTATTTGTTCATCACGTTGATATAATTATCATTTCTTGGTGGTTTTGTGGCTCAACAAACTACTCCTTTAAGCTTACGATCGAGAGAAACTGCGCAGTTCCCATGCAGCCGATGAACCGAGAGATCTCAGCCAACCAATGAGAGTGTAAATTACACCAACCAACCAATCAGAACTCGGAGCTAATAGTTGGTTTAACTGTTTGTTAAAGAAACAAAAGAGGTTCTGTTTGATACTTTTTGCCTATACATACTCCATGTGGTGGATTAGTTTAATTTTCCACACACACTTTATTCAATTGATGATCAACTAACTCTCTAACTTTTCTGCCAAAAAATTATGCTAATTACTACATTGGTCCATTTGTTTACCCCAATTTGTAAATCTTTTGGCCTTAGGACATACAGGGGGAAAAAAAAAAAAAAAAGAATCATGAAAAATGTAGTTGACATTAGATATCGAAGTCAACAAAGGATTCCACTGAATTTCTCTGGTTACGGAAAGGTATATATCACATGCTAATCTCCTCCAACCTCTTAAATTATTTATGGCCATGAGGTGATCACGTACAAAGGCTAATTCTTCTAATTCTAAAACGCATAAGTATCTTCATTTTTTTCCCATCACCTTTAAGATATTTCAGAATTTTCAATTAACATATTCTCCATCGCAACCTATATTTTTAGGTTTTTAATACATTTTTTTTTTCATTTCCAGCAAAAAAATAATAAATTCACCCACTGAAAAAAGATTAAAAGGAGTTCGAATTAAGCAACCCAGGTGAGGTATCTATAAAGCTAATTGACTACCTGTTCCATTAGTCTAATTTCCGAAAAATAGTAAAATTACAATTGTACTTGAGGCTAAATTAATTAATTAAATGGAATTAATTTTTGGCTCGAAGAATTCTGCGGATTATGTATTCGATTGTGGTATCTACCTAATCCTACGGTAACACCTAACCCTATTGATTAACTAGTCTCTTAATTACAGTACTTTTAAGGGTTATCAAATCCAATGGATGATGGTATTATATATATGCATGCGAATAAATTTTGAGATTCAAACAAAAACCAAAAAATGGTAACTAAAAATTAGTTGCAATTGGTTCAAATGTCATCTATTTTGACTTGCACAACTTACGTCCAAGGAGTTGTGCGCCGGTTGTTTGGTGAAGTTAGCTTAGGCTTTGTTGTAATCACACCACTATTTGTGGTTAGACCAACCCAACTCTCCAATCACCAGCAATAACCAATAACACTAACATTCCCGTTTTTAAGGTAGTACGTATTTCTCAAATATAGTGTTAAACATTTTTTTTTCTATTTACAGATCGTTTACCGTCACCAGCAACAAAGTGTAATTTCTCTCGCTAAATTTAGGAGCATCTCGATTGGTGGATGACTTAAGTGAGCTTTGAACTAAGATTCAACTGTTTGGACTTGTGAAAATCTGAATAGTTGCTAGCGTCCATCATCAACTACAACTTGGGGTGATCTGCAAGAAAATCTATACCAGATGGGAGACAATTCTTGGCGTATATTATCTTTCCAAAATTGCTTTTCCAATTATCGCTTTTCACCTCCCAAAACTAACTGAAAAATGACATTTCAGCAAAAGACGTTGATATTATTTCCCATATAAAAGTACTACTTAGACTCTATTTCTGCTGCCATCATATTAATCCCATAAGTACAACAACAAGAAGTACGTACTACATTCTGAGAGAAAACAGAACAGCAGAACAGGGGGAATATTGATGGGCATATACATCATGGCGTCCTCATGGATTTATGCCTTGATGCTGATGGCTTGTTTACTTCTTCCTTCATTGGCCGAATGCAGAATTCGCCATTATAAATTCAACGTAAGTATATATGCTCATGACATATACAATCTTTAATCTTGAATTAAGAAATGTGTTCTTGAACAGTTCTTACAAAAATGATTTTGGGAATTTGTTGTATGCAGGTGGTACAAAAGAATCACACACAGTTATGCTCAACAAAGCCGATAGTAACAGTAAACGGGTTGTTCCCAGGACCAACAATATACGCCAGGGAAGATGACACTGTTCTCATCAAGGTTGTCAACCATGTCAAATACAATCTCAGCATTCACTGGTAAATAACATTTATTTTTGTTACATCAGAAAATGTATCTCTCGATATACACCGTTCTTACCATCCGATGGCCCGTCAAATCTTAGTTATAGTACTTACTTTTTCTTTGACAATAACTGCGTGAAAATGCCCGACTCAGACTAATCACCATTCGACCTGTATATCTTGCTTTGGACAATTGGCAGGCATGGAATTCGCCAACTGCGAACTGGCTGGGCGGACGGTCCAGCGTACATTACACAATGTCCAATTCAACCAGGGCAAAGTTATGTGTACAATTTCACAATAACAGGACAAAGAGGAACACTTTGGTGGCATGCACATATCCTCTGGCTCAGGGCAACTGTCCATGGAGCCATTGTAATCCTCCCTAAGCTCGGAGTTCCTTACCCTTTTCCCACCCCAGATAAAGAAGTTGTGGTCGTTTTAGGTCAGTATTACTCGTACATTTTTCACCATTTTCAAATGCGTTAATTCTGTCCAGTTTCAGAACAACAACATTTCCATTCAACAATTTTTGTCTGCTTGTTAATCTTTTTATATAGGTGAATGGTGGAAATCGGATGTTGAAGCGGTTATCAATGAAGCTAAGAAATCAGGCTTGGCCCCTAACGTTTCTGATGCTCACACTATCAATGGTTTCCCAGGACCCGTCTCAAATTGCCTTTCTAAAGGTACAACTTTTGATAAAATCATGTCATCGTGTCGGAAAATAGACTCTGATTTCTTTGTTCAACAGGAGGGTTCAATCTACCTGTGGAGCCTAAAAAGAAATACATGCTGAGAATCGTCAATGCTGCACTGAATGAGGAACTGTTCTTCAAGATTGCTGGTCACAAGCTCACTGTGGTTGAGGTTGATGCCACATACGTTAAACCATTCCAGACTGATACAATTCTGATAGCTCCAGGCCAAACAACCAATGCCATTTTATCCACCGACTTTCAAACCGGCAAGTTCATGATGGCTGCCTCGCCGTTCATGGATGCCCCGATCGCCGTCGATAACTTTACCGCCACTGCAACGGTGCATTATGCCGACACCCAATCAGCCATCGCCACCACGTTGGCAACTCTGCCTCCCAAAAACGCCACCCCTGTGGCCACAAAATTCGCAGACTCTCTCAGAAGCCTAAATTCAAACACCTACCCTGCAAAAGTCCCATTGAAAATTGATCATTCCCTGTTTTTCACAGTCAGCCTGGGAATCAACCCCTGTTCCACTTGTGTAAACGGAAGCAGAGTCGTGGCTGATATTAACAATGTCAGCTTTGTAATGCCCAAAACGGCTCTCCTTCAGGCACATTTCTTCAACCTGAAAGGAGTATTCACCGATGATTTCCCGGCGAATCCGCCGATAAAGTATAACTATACAGGGACACAGCCCAAAAACCTGAGGACAATGACAGGGACAAGGCTTTACAGGCTTGCTTATAATTCCACTGTACAGTTAGTTTTGCAAGATACTGCCATGATTAGCCCTGAGAGCCATCCAATTCATTTGCACGGATTCAATTTCTTCGTGGTTGGAAAGGGTGTAGGCAATTTTAACCACAAGAACGATCCCAAGAAATTCAACCTTATTGACCCTGTTGAAAGAAACACTGTGGGAGTTCCTACGGGCGGCTGGGTAGCAATCAGGTTCAGGGCTGATAATCCAGGTACGAGTTTCTGTTTTCTAAATGCAAATTATTCTCTTATGAAACATTCAAGATTTGAATTTTACTAACAAAATGCATTTCTTTTTCTTGTATAAAAGGGGTCTGGTTCATGCATTGCCATTTAGAAATCCACACGACTTGGGGACTGAAGATGGCATTTGTGGTGGATGACGGGAAAGGTCCCGATGAATCCCTTCTACCGCCGCCTGCTGATCTGCCAAAATGTTGAAGGGATTCTGGTTTTGAAATTCCCTTTGCTCAATTGTACATTCTACGGTTACTATGATCATCTTCCTTAGGTTGAGCACTCATGTTTTCGTCTCCTCCAATTAAAAAAAAAGTTTTGTGCTTATTTTCCATGATTAAGTTTTTTGAACAATGGCTTGCGCTAGAAATGAAATTGTAGAACATAATCGTGAGATCTAACTTAGGATTGTCGTCTATCATTGCGAATTGCGAATGAATGATGAACATAACTTTTTCTTTGAGCAGTATGTTTTGACAATGGTGTAATAATTTAAACAGCATTCATACGATGGATTTTGATACTACCTTAAGGTAAAATGAAAAAAATAAATAAATAAATACTCCTTCCCTCCGTCCCTAAATTATTGTTCAGTTTGAATTTTCATTTATAATTCAAATTGTACTAAAAATGAAAATCCAAACTTGACAATAATTTTAAGACAGAGGAAGTAAATAAATAATCTCAATATTTGCATTCTGCTGTCAAAAAACGAGTCATGTAACACTTCTTTCGTCCTATAACAATCGTCGCATTTTTTCAATCATTTTCTCTGTATCGGAACAGGAGCTTCCCTAGGTATCAGCAAGGAAGAATTCCGTGCAAAGATCGAGATTTAAAGGTCAAATCGTGAGGAACAATGGTCAAAGTAAAAAAGCAATTAGAAAAACAATCGTATGAAAGATACTATGTGCCAACTGGTTAAATAATTATTGGATTAGCAGGAAGCCAAGTCATTGAAATTTCGAAATAAGACTCAACTCTCCAGAGGCCGTCCTTAAACAAGCTTCTGTGTTACGTTGAACACTAAACAGTGGTTGGATTACTTGTCTCCGGAAACCAATACAGCTAGCTCATCTATTATTTGTATACATGCACTTGTCACATTTGGTCAATCATTGCTTATTTAATCACATCATGTCTATCCTACGATGTGTTCGAATTTGTTACGAAGTCTTAATCCGATCCAATGAACTCATCACAAGTAAGTGTGAACTTTTCTATCTTCAAAGTCAATTGATTAGAAATACACCTTTTGTTTCAAAATGATAGTTCTATTTATTTGTTCGAATTTGTTGCATGTCTACTGTCCCTAAAAATAAATAGTCCAGTTTGTTAAACTAAAACCAATATAACGAAATAAATTTCTTCTCTTTTTGTTGTTTTTTTTAAGCAATTGGAATACAATTTTAATATGACAATTATTTCGTGAAAGCTCATGCCTCAACATTTTGAAAGAGATAACAAAACTTCTTTTCATCCAAAAAAGAAAAAAAAGGAAGAAAAGAGAAATTCTTTTGGGTTTTGGAATTTATTTGAGTTTTAAATTGTGGCCCTTTTTTCTGAACTTGATTGTTTTGGTCTTCATGCATCCATGGTTTTGCATTGTCAATTATTACTAGTCTTATGAATGGAACATACCAACAATATATAGGCTTCAATGTTGGCTAAAACAATAGCAATTTTTTTTTAAAAAAAAAAAACCCTTAAATATAGATGCAAGACATATCAAATGGAAGCTTTTACAGAAAGAGTCGGCCACAGCAACTGCTAAGCTTTACTAATTGTTTAATGGATATTTGAGATAAAATTACAAAATTTGGTAATGTTTCACTTCTTTCCCATGTGATTTTCTTGACCCTCTAGATGATATAATACACCTTCCTTTGAAATGCTTATGAGGATTCTCACACACACTTTTGGCATTTAGAAAAAAATCGAACATTTCTCCTTTTCTTTTCACGTAAGTTACATTATATATCATGTAACTTGTCGAAATTCTTCGTTATTATATACATACAAGCAGTAACTCTATCTTCGGGGAACAATTATTTGCTCACTACAATTACAGTTCTAATAGCACAAAAAAGTAAAACATTCTCAAGGTTTTTATGTTCTGATTATTTTTTTTAATAGTTAATCAAGCAAAGCTGGTACACACATGGCATCGGAATATTTACTTAATTGGACTTGTTAGCGATTACTTGTGAGGAAGTACATACACGGTACACAGAAGCTTCATGATTATTGATCAGTTCATCAACACATTGACACCAAATGAACATTTTCTAGATTTGCATGCAATATTTCAAGAAATTCAATCTCTGAAATAATGTCATTTTCGTCCAAAAATCCAACTAAAATGACATTCTAGCAAAGCTTTTACCTTTTTAAAGTTCAACCTAAAGCACCAACCAAGAGCTATTACTGAGTACAAACAGCACAAACTCACGAAAACAAACAAATTTCACAAAGACAGAACAAAAAATGTCCAAGTTTCTTCAAGTTTTCTTGGTGGTTCTGGTTGCTTGTTTAACTTCGTCGTTGGTACAATGCAAGATTCAAATTTATAAGTTCAATGTAAGTATTTATGATCTTCTTCTTCAATTTAAGCAATACTTCTTCAGATGGTTGCATTAGGTTGAAGAGAATCTCATAGCAAAACCCTAGATGTTTTTATATAAGCTTAGATCAAAGCCACATTTTGCACCTCTTTTCTTCTCTTTTTTTCCCCGCTTTTGTGCTCATGCAGTTTAACTATGCCTATATTGCCATATCCAAACAAGAAGCGAATTCTTTTCTTCCTTTCCTTTTTCTTACTCCCTTTGGAGAAGAAGAACAAAAAAAAAAAAAAAAGAAGGAAAAAGGATAATTTTGTTTGGCAATATGAATAGTGCTATTTGATTTCAGAACCTCTATCATTGAAAACCAGTTCATATAGGGTTCATTTGCACTACGTGTCATGAAGATCACAGAGCATTTTGGTTTATAATAAGAATTTTGTAAAATTTATCAAGTACTGCATGGATATGATTTGCCAGACTAGTGAAATGTGCTCGTGAAGTTGAAATGCTACGTTAATTTTTGTCGTTGTGTGAGGCTAATGCAGGTAATGATGACGAACACAACAAGATTATGTGAAACAAAGCCCATAGTTACAGTCAATGGACTTTTTCCAGGCCCGACACTCTTTGTTAAGGAGGGTGATACAGTTCTCATCAAGGTTGTCAATCAAATCCAGTCTAATATGACCATCCATTGGTGAGTCCACATCCCATTCCCAAAATTAAATCATTTCTATTTGTATTAGTTTTATTTTTTTTAGTACAAAATTCCTTTAGAATTATTTCCATCACAAAGTTTAGATAAGAATTTCTATTTGTATTAGTTTTATTTTTTTTAGTACAAAATTCCTTTAGAATTATTTCCATCACAAAGTTTAGATAAGATTAACTGTACAAACTGAAAAATTACCATTAAGAAAGAAAATGCATTGTGGTGTATTAGCTAAGAAATCGAATCACCTTTTGATATTCGATCTGGCTTAACATGAATATTAGTGCCACTGAACTAATCTCGTCTCCTAATAAAAAGAACATGATAGAATTTTGTTAAATCATTGATAACATTATTCATGTTATTGTTATATTTGGTACTGTATATGTCGCAAAGTAATCGTATCCTTGTTGTTCTAAAATAAATATTTTGGGATTAAAGGAGACTTTATATATATCTTTTAAAATATCTGCCTGATTTTGTGGACTAACAACCATTTAAAGTTTTAAGTAAACAACATGCATGCCATTTCTATTTTATTTTTTATTTTTTTATTTTTTATTTTTGGTTTCAATGATATGCTAAATGTATTGTGTAATCGGGCAAGGGGGACAAATCTTTTTGGGATATCATATAATGACCTTACGTAACTTGTTTACTTGTCTTAGTTTGCTATTTTATTTTTATTTTTTTATGTAACACTTACAACTCCAAACACGGGTTGGGTTCAACTATACATACATTCAGTTAAAGTGTCGAAATCATTTAGGTGGAATGTACGAGTCACAATCATTATTCATTCATGATAGTTGGGGATTCAAAAACATAGCAACAAGAATTCCATAAATCTCCACCTGTCCCATAGTTAGACTCGTTCTTTTCTTCAATTATCTTTTTGTTTTGAAAAAGAAAGAGAGTTATTTTTTTTTAAATTTTGACGGCTAATACTTGTTAAATATAACAATCTGCTCAATTTCATGGGTTCTATATTTGGGAGGCAAAAATTAAAGAGACTGTACGTACACAGTGAATGTAAGAAAAACGGTTTAGGGAAAAAAAAAAAAAAAGGAAACAACCGGATGACTTGATAGAAAAGGGCTCGATGAGTTTTTATGAGATTAAGGAAAAAAACTAAAAAGAGTAACCAAGTCGATCTTTATATCCTGATTTCATTTATCGAGTTCTTCAATTGAAAATCAAATTTAAAAAATGTAATTTTTACATTTATTGTGTTATCTCTATAATTATAAAATATTTTTAAGGATTCATGACCAATTGAAAAATTAAAATGCTTTATAATAAATAAGTGATGGAGTATTATTTACCTACAGGAGAAAAGTCATTTTTTGGTATATCATACATTCCGGCGTAACACTGCCGGACTAGCCGGAATCAAACTAATTAATGAACTTTAACTCAACTTTTCACCGGGATAAACATATGTGCAGGCATGGAATACGGCAAATTCGGACGGGCTGGTCCGACGGTCCGGCGTTCATCACACAATGCCCAATTCAACCAGGACAAAGTTACGTCTATAATTTCACCATAACAGAACAGAGAGGAACTCTGTGGTGGCATGCTCACATCGGCTGGATGAGATCCACCGTGCACGGCGCCGTTGTTATTGTCCCTAAACAGGGCGTTCCTTACCCTTTCCCCACTCCAGACAAAGAAATCGAGATTATTTTAGGTTCATTTGAATTTCAACATCATCAAAATCCTACTTTTACAGACTGAGTCTATTATGCTCCTTGATGATATGAATTAATGGTTTTAATCAAGTGAAATTTGATGATCCAAATTGTAGGAGAATGGTGGAAGTCAGATGTTGAAGAAATGATCGAAAACGCATTGAAGATTGGAATCGGACCCGACATTTCTGATTCGTACACCATCAATGGACTAACAGGCCCTGTTTCATCATGTTCTTCACCACAAGGTAAATTGTTTGTTCTTCTTTTTTCCGATCAGGTTGAAGTTTCTTCACAAACTTTTTCTGTTTTTAAATCGAATTGGCAGAAGGGTTCAATTGGGTTGTGGAAAATGGCAAGAAATACATGCTGAGAATCGTCAATGCTGCACTGAATGAAGAACTGTTCTTCAAGATTGCGAACCATAAACTCACCATTGTTGAAGTCGACGCAACTTACGTTAAACCATTCCAAACAGAAACCATTTTCATAACGCCGGGACAAACGATGAACGCCATTCTGGACGCTGATTTGGGAACCGGAAACTATTTAATGGCAGCTTCACCGTTCATGGAGGAAGTTCATGTCCCGATCGATAACCGGACCGCCACGGCCACCCTTCAGTATTCCGGCACCAATCCGTCGGAACCCATCAAATTAACCGACATTCCGGCGCAAAACGACACCTCCGTGGCAACATCATTTGTGGATTCCCTCAAAAGTCTTAATTCCCAAGAATACCCTGCCAGAGTCCCTTTGAATATTGACCATTCTCTGCTTTTCACAATTGGTTTCGGTATCAACCCTTGCGCTAATTGTGTCACTGGTTCAGAACTTTTGGCAAACTTCAACAACATATCCTTTATCAAGCCCGAAATTTCTCTCCTCAATGCACATTTCTTCAACATTAGTGGTGTTTTTAGTGATGATTTCCCGGGGAATCCCCTGAATCCGTATGATTACACTGGCACTTCACAACCTAGAAATCTTAGGACAATGCAAGGTACGAGGCTTTACAGACTTGCTTACAATTCAACCGTGCAACTGGTTTTGCAAGATACTGGTATGATTAGCCCTGAAAACCATCCAATTCATCTGCACGGCTTCAATTTCTTCGTGGTGGGAAAAGGGTTAGGGAATTACAACCCGGATAATGATCCGAACAACTTTAATCTTGTTGACCCTGTTGAGAGAAACACCATTGGAGTTCCAACTGGTGGATGGGTTGCTATCAGATTCAGGGCAGATAATCCAGGTAGCTTAGCATAAATTTTTTTTTTATTAGAACATTGTTGCATAATTCAGGACATTATTTGATCTCATATGTCTGATTCTAATAAACAACATAATTGGTGTGTTTCAGGAGTTTGGTTCATGCATTGTCATCTGGAAGTACACACAACATGGGGACTTGAGATGGCATTTGTTGTTGACAATGGAAAAGGACCTAAAGAATCTATATTACCACCTCCACAAGATCTTCCTACATGTTGAGATTTGCTTCCAAGAAAATTGAGTACACCTTTGTTAAAGGTTTTTTTTTTTTTTTTTTCCCTCCCTTAAATCATCAAATGTAAAAAAGCGTGAAATTCAGATTGTAAGAAACAAAACAGTGAACCGATCGGTTTGTCGCAGTCGGATAAATAATGTTTGTTGCATATGAAAATAGTGATATTCCCGGAGAAATGTCAGTTTGCTCACCTTTGTTTTCTAGCGCACTACAAAAAAAACTTGTGATTAATCACGGAAATGGACGTATGTGGTAAAAGTTGTGGTTAATTAGCCACGAAATACCCACGATTTAGCCACGAAACTTTGACTAAAACTCAATTCTCTCAAAAATCATGAGTTAGCCACAACATTAACCATAAATTAACCACGGCCAAACATAAACGTGGCTAATTCTCTTCCCGTCATTTTATTTGTCACGGATTAGACACAACTTTACATAAACGTGGCTAATTCTCTTTCCGTCATTATATTTGCCACGGATTAGGCACGACTTTTTGTCCGTGGATTGTTAAAGAGTAGTTAAAATAATTTTTAACCATGAATCAATCACGTCTAATGCCGTGGTTAACATTATTGGGGTTAAAGTCGTGGCTAATATTATGAATTAGCTACGCTCAATACCGTGGGTAGCGTTTATGTGGTTAAAGTCGTGGCTAATGTTAGAAATTAGCCACGCTCAATGCCGTGGGTAACGATTGCGTGATTAAAGTTGTTGGTAATGTTTGATTTAGACATGTATTTAACCATACTTTAATTTATGTGTAATTAATTTTGAAAATAATGTTTAAGCAACCATTGAATTACCTAGGAAAAAATTTTGTTACGACATGTTTCGTAATTAAATCGTGAATAAGAAATTGACAAAGTAAAATGAGGATGAATAATAACAGTTTCCATTGGTGAGGGTTAATTATGCTGATTTGTTAAGAGGAAAAATAGTTAGTATTTATTTAAAAATATTTTATCTCTTGTAGCATTTTCTTTTTATTTATACTTTCTCATAAAATAAAGTAATTCTCCATAATTAGGCATAAGAGACTCAAATGTCATATTTCACAAAAAAAAGGAGGATCTATTTGTGTTTTTACATTGCTTGTAATTATATTGTAGCACCCTAAAAATTAAAAATTGCCCCCATAAAATGCGTTGACTTTTAAACTAGTCCTTTAAACTTATAATAATTATAGTATGACACCCTAATAGTGACATTTTGTATCAAGTAACATTTTTCATGTTTTTTTTTCAAGTAATTAGATTAAAGTTGATTGATAATATTTCTATTGTATTTTAGATCTATAAACATTAGACAATAATGAATGTATGTAAACTTCTAATTTATTAGGCACAGAGTTACATTTCTGATTTTTGAATTAGTAGTTAACACATATACACAGAAGCAGGGGTGCCTTGGTTTAAAAAATGCCTAGAAAAATGCCTATATATATATATATATATTGTGAAGCAAAATGCGGAGATCGGATTTACAAAATTCGATCCACTAATTAAATTAGTAAATAAAATAATAATTTTTTTCGGAAAATACATGTGGAAAATATGAAATGAAAGTCAACTAATGAACAGTGTAAGGTCGGATTTTAGGAATCCGACCTTTATTTTTAAAAAATAAATATAGGCGGGAGATTTGAAAATTAAGAACAGTAAAGGGTCAGATTTGCGGAATCCGACCTACCTTTTTTATGCTTAAAAAATAAATATAGGCGTGAGATTTGAAAATTAAGAACAGTACAAGTTGTAAATCCGACCTTATTTAAGCATGCCTAATAGTAGATATCAGCATTTAATAGACATTATTAGCGGGCAGAAGGTCGGATTCTTGAAATCCGACCTTACATGTAAATCGGATTTAGAAAATCTGGCCTTACTTATAAACTCGGATTTTATAAATCCGACCTTTGTGTGTTATAATGGGACGACGAAAAACACTATTCACATATCGGGATTTTGGTAAATGTGACGATTTCTTGAAGGAGGAGGTGATTTTAGTGGCGATTTGAAGATTTTGTTCACGATTCTTCGCAACGGATGTCTTAGAACTATTTCACAAGAAGGTTAGTTATTGTTTTGATGTATTTAGAATTATTGTTGTTGTTTTCTTTGTAAAAGTGTAGAACTAGGATGATTTATAAGGCTTTAGGGTTGATGTTGGGTGTAGTTGATAGTTGTTGTTGTATACGTAGTATTGAACGTTCAATTTAGTAAAATGCTTGAATTTGGCTTAAACTTTTGAATTTGTAGGGGGTTTAGTAAATTTAGTGTTGATTATGCCGTGTTTGTGGTAATTGTTATAATAAGTTGTTTGATAATGCCTTGTTTGTGTATTTTTTTTTAATAATTGTTCATAATGTGTTGTAATTCATGTAATCAACAGATATAAATGGTGTATAACGGTCCATATTTCATTAATGTCTATTGGTCGAGCAAATTTGTTGTGAAAAATGGGATTGTGAATATTTTTAACAACATGCCGGACGATTCCTTTGTGATTGATCATAAGGTATTGTATAATGATTAGGTTGGATTGATTTGTGAAAGAGCGGGGTGGAATAGAGAGAATGTGAATTTGAGTCTATCGATTTTGTATGATACGATGGGCAATGGTTTTAGGCGTATCGCCAAAATCAAGGACGACGCATCGTTGCAAGTGTTGTATTTTCTCACAAATTCGACATATATTGATTTGTATGTGGATTTGGAGGTGGCGGGTACTTCTAGGTCCCATTTGAGAGTAGAGACAAGTAGTGGTAGGCCGAATGTGGAGAATGTCGATTACATGGAAGATGATGATGTGGGTGGACCGATTATGGAGGATGGCGATCACATGGAAGATAATTACACAGAAGATGATGAGGACTACACATCGATAAGTGATCAAAGCGATAAAAACCAATCAATATCTGAAGGAAGTGGGGAGAGTGATGAAGAGGTCGAAGACAAATTCGCCACAAAGGACAGGCACATATATCATTCACAGGGTACATGGGATCATACAAAAGTGGACAAGGATGAATTTCAACTTACCATGTAGGATGGGACAACCGCAACAATCGGGATAGGGACTTGTTTCAAGAATAAGGAAGAAGCAAAAAATGGTCTTGCAGCGTGGAACATAGAGCAAAAGAGAGAGTTTTATGTGAAGGAAAGTGATGGTTCAACATGGTATATTTGGTTATGTTCCTTGCCGTTGGAAGATACGTGCCTCCTTGAGAGACCACGGTTTGTGGGAGATTGTGAATGAGTGCCCAAGCACAAGTGTATGAATGTCACCGAGGAAAATAATAATCGGAATGTAAGCGCAACGCTTATTGCTCATCTCATAAGGCATAAGGTTGAGTTGGACCCGGATTATGAACTGAAGCTCGTTCAAGAAGAAGTGAAAGATCGTATGTATGTCGATGTTCCTTACCATAGGACATGGGAGGGAAGGAGAAAAGCTATCGATCTTGTTTACGGCGATTGGGTTTCCAATTTTTACATACTTCCAAGGTATTTACTTAAGTCCTATCTAATTTGTTTGATTTGTTTGTAATTTACTTTTAAAATAAGTATTTTTTTTAATTTAGGTTTTTCGCCGCACTAGAGAAGAGCAACCCCGACACAGTTGTAGAGTGGGAATGGCAACCGAGTTGGACCGATATAGAGAGGACGTTCAAATACGTTTTTGGGGCATTCAAGCCTGCAATTGATTGTTTTGCTAAATGTCCTCCGGTGATTAGTATCGACGGGACGCACTTGCGTGGCAGATACAAAGGGAAATTACTTGCTGCAATGGTCAAAACTGTGAATAAGCGCATCCTGCCAATTGCATATGCGATCGTGGATGAAGAGAGTGAGGAAAGTTGGTCATTCTTCTTGAAGCATTTGAGGAATCATGTTATATCCGACCGTCCTGTGTGTGTTATATCCGATCGGCACAAGGGTATCATCAGTGTAATACGCCTAATGCCCGAATGGAATGCATACCACCGGTTTTGCCTTCGTCACGTCCGTAGTAACTTGGTGGCGCGGTTTCGAAGTAAAAAGATCAAAAGGTTGTGTTGGGAGATGTGCACGAAACTTTCAAAGTCTAAATTCAAAGAACTAAGGAAAGAGCTACGTGATTTTAGCAATGATGCTTATTTGTATCTCGAGGAGATTGATACTTGTTAGTGGACTCTTGCCAAAGACAAACACTATCGTTGGGGTAACCAGACAACCAACATTTCTGAGAGTTACAACAACGTCCTCAAGGGCGTTCATTTCTTGCCGATCCGAGCTTTGGTGGAAGCCACTTTTATTAAGACTGTGGATTTGTTCCAGGAAGAATACATGAATTCGAGGAAATATATTACGCCGGTCCCAACTGACTTGTGGGAAGACTTCAAGAAAAAAGAAAAGAAACCTGCGCAACACAAAGTCAACCGTTATGGTGCTATTAATGGCAAGTTCAAGGTGAAAAGTAGAGCCCGACTTGGTGGTAAAGGAGACAACACGTACATTGTGAAATACAAAGAGAAGAAGTGTTCTTGCAAGAAGTGGCAAGAGTATAGGTTCCCTTGTACACATGCACTAGCCGTGTGTCGGAAGATAAAAGATCAACCAATCAATACGGTGAATCAATATTTCAGGGTTGTTGCTTGGCAAGACCAATCAGTGGCCGCGATGACTTTTCCCCGGTCCCTGATAAGAGAAGATGGCCTAAGGTTGGATGGAGACTCGTTCCTAACTATGAGCGAGTTATTATGCATGCTGGACCCGGTCGTTGGCAAAAGAAGAGATTTAAAATGCAAATAGATTATAGGGGACGCAAATCGAGGGGTGAATGTTTGAGATGTGGCTCAAGGAATCATTTCACCAATGCGTGCCCAAAATCACACAAGAAATCGATAGGACAAGGCTCAAGATCAATTGGGACGCTGATGGTATTCACAACGACTAGGATTGTTTGGTTGAATTGTTGTTTATGTCCCTAAACAATGTTTCATGTCTCAAAACTATTGTAGTTTATGCTTTAGTTTGTTCGATTTGTACTTTATGTTTTAGTTCTTTCGAATTGTATTGTATGCTTAATGAATTAGTTCATTTAATGTATTGTTGTTGTGTTGGATATTAGTACTTGTTAAAAAAGGCTAGGTGCAAAAATTATCAATTGTTTTTTGTAGTTTTAGGGTATAAGTCGGACTTACAAAATCGATCTAGGGTATAAGT